GCATGCGCGTTGTAATTCGGGGTCGAGATCGGTCGTCGCGCGGGTTGACCTGACTCTCGTGGCACGTTTTTCCTATGCCCTTTCGGTCTGGTCTTCGTCATTTCAGCGGGACCCGTCGTAGGCAACTCTTTTCTGACCCAGCTGCAGTGGCGGATACAGGGGAGGAGCAACCGCCAGGTTTGCATTTGATTTATTTATTCAAAATAGCACCTGCATTAAATTTTATTTGAGCCAGTGAAATAGATACTCAAGTTCTTACCCCAGACGAAAAATAAAAAAGGCGAAAGGACGAGGAATGGTGGTAGGCTGGGGGAGGGGTAGGAACTTTGGAACCGCCCCCCTATGAAAAATTTCTGTATCCGCCCCTGTCCAGTTGACCCATCATTCTCCTAAATAGGTTGACTTTCTCACTCTTTCGGCCCGACATAGAAGGAATGCGGCTCCCTCGGTATGTGCTTATAGTTAGTTTTTACGTGGTGCGCTTGGGTTTGGTGGTGAAACGTCAGTCTGAGTCTCGAGCTCCGAAGTGATCACGGAATGACATGACATTATGCATCGTATAACGTAATGCATCGATCTCAAGACCACTATCAGGACACTAGATAATTTAGGAACGCCCTGTACATCATCATCCCTTTGCTCAATATGAGTCTTCATGGGCACTTCGACGACCATGGCAGACACTACGACATTGACCAACACAGGCAGCAAATCAGGGAGGGTGCAATGTGTGTCACAAAAACGCTAAAGGCATTTGTAGAAGCAGATCCCTCGCACTGACGAGTGCGTGGAAGGACTGGTCGACATTGGACGACTGACGATCTCCCGCTGGACCCTTGATGCATCGCCTTGGACGCATGTGGAGTAGCAGCACGTTCGGAGTTGATATGTTGGTTTTTGCATTTGCCTTTGCCTTCCCCACCCTTTATTGGGACTAATTGAAGTAACTGAAGCTCGTGTGAGCAAAGCAGTACACTCCAAACCTGTGGACATAATAAATAAAAAAACTAGCAATTTGCCTGGAACAAAATCAACCCGTCATTAAGGCAGTTATCAACTATATTTGGCAAAGCATGAAACTCATGATGGCTTTGGAGACAAAACTTCCAATAAAATGCATTAAATATCGACTTGGCTACTGGAAGAAATTCTGAAGACATCCTGTCGAATTGGCAGATTCATCCAAAACATCGATGACCTCTCGAAAAACGCGGAAACAGTCGTTAAACTTGCACGAAGGGGGAAATTCCGACTACATGGACTCATCCTGGCGATATTAAGCATCGGAGTCTCCCCTAAAACACACTTGTGCTCTGCGCTCCGTCGAACGTGTCTGACGGTAGACTGTGCGGGACCACGAACGAGCGTGGCCAGGGCTTAGCAGACATCCTTTGCATTCGTGACGTCAGCGATGACTTCGGTTCCCGCAGACGAGGTCCCGGGGACTCTACAACCTCCTCACCGACGGGAGGATGCAGTCCGAGTCCCGCTCTCGCGTCGAGTGCATCTTGGGCGGTCCGGGCCTGGGAAGGCTCTCAACGTGTTTTTCTCCGTTGCCTTCGTTCCGATCGAGGCCGTGTGCCACTCGAATGTCTGGCTGCGTTTGCCGAGGGGCCGTTCTCCAGTCCATCGGTGAGTGCCTCAACGACGGGATCAAGACCTACTTCGACCGCTTCGATGAATTACTTCGATGAAAGCACTTCTAAGTACTAGTTCAGTACTTCCGTCGATATGCCACCCGCTTCCGGTCACGCTAGCTCTCTGGAATGCTCGTCGATTTCAGGAATTCGTTTTCCAACCACCGACATACCGTGAACTTGGGTTCCTTTGAGCGGCAACTGGAAATTTATTTAAGCGGTTAAAAGTAAGGCTTATAAACTGAGGGATTAAGGGATAAAAAGTGGAAGCGCCGTGTAGTGCGAATTGTGATTGAATCGATATTGTATCTCAAAATCCACATCCACTTATTCAACGATCACGAAAAAGAAAATCCATCGAAAAGTCGCGCAACTCCAAAGAAGTCTTAGCGGCTGTTTTACGTCCTGTGATCCTTTCAGGCCTGGATTAAGGTCGCTATCGAGATAATATCCTTTTTTTGCATTTTTGAGCACTTTCGCTATTGTAATTCAAATTTTTGCGTTTTATATATCGTTTTTATATTTTGCATAAATTTATTCTTCTTCTTCTTCTTCTACCAGCTGTTCCCACTTTCATGTGGGGTCGCTGCAGCAGACACCAATCTCCTCCATCTGTCTCTGTCCTGGACATCCTCCTCCTCCGCACCAATCCCTCTCATGTCCTTCCTAACACAATCCATCCATCTCCATTTAGGCCTTCCTCTTCCTCTCTTTCCGGGCAAACCCAGCTCCATTGTTCTTCTTCCAACATAGGTTTCTTCCCTTCTTTTCACATGTCCATACCATCTCAACCGTGCTCTCCTGCATCTTGATGTAACACTCTCCACTTCCAGTCTCCCCCTCACCTCCTCATTCCGTTTCTGGTCCCTCCTCGTCCATCCGCATGACCATCTACACATTTTCATCTCCGCCACCTCCAACCTCCCGCTCTGCTTGCCTGTCATGGGCACCGTCTCCATGCCATATAGCATTGCTGGTTGCACCACCATTTTGTGGATCTTCCCCTTCACTCTTGGTGGTACCTTTTTGTCACATAAGACTCCCGACATTTTCCTCCAATTGTTCCAACCTGACTGCAACCTCAAACTGACCTCATCATCCATACACCCATCCTTTGATAGCATGCTTCCCAGGTACTTGAATTTGCTCGCTACTGGCACTAAATCGTTTTGCAACTCCACACTGCCAGATTCGTTTCCACTTAAGCACATGTATTCAGTTTTTGATCTTGACACTTTCATTCCTCGGCTCTCCAGTGCATTTCTCCACTTTTCCAGGTCTTCCGCCAGTTTCTCCTTTTCTGGAGCACACAGCACAACGTCATCTGCAAACATCATTTGCCATGGGGCCTCCTCTCTGATCTCCTCAGTAAAGCAGTCCATTATAATAGCAAACAGGAAAGGGCTGAGGGCTGATCCCTGATGTAAACCAACTTCAACCCTAAAAGGCTCCGTAGTTCCTGCTTCACACCTCACCGCTGTTTCACTCTGCGTATACATATCTCGGATAATCCTGATGTATTTTTCTGGTACTTTCTTTTCTCTCATACACCAATACAACTCTTCTCTTGGTACTCTGTCATATGCCTTCTCCAAATCTATGAAAATACCATGCAGGTCTTTCCGTCCCTCTCTGTACTTCTCTTGNTCAACGACGGGATCAAGACCTACTTCGACCGCTTCGATGAATTACTTCGATGAAAGCACTTCTAAGTACTAGTTCAGTACTTCCGTCGATATGCCACCCGCTTCCGGTCACGCTAGCTCTCTGGAATGCTCGTCGATTTCAGGAATTCGTTTTCCAACACCGACATTGGCACTTGAACCCAAGGAAACTCGCCGTTGACCTTTAAATAAATTCGCCAATTTTCATTCCGAATATTTGACTCCCTAATTCCCTATTTTTCACCTTCGCGGCACATCACGCTTAACACTAACTTATGATATTGCATCTCAAAATCCACGTCCACTTATTCAACGATCACGAAAAAGAAAATCCATCGAAAAGTCGCGCAACTCCAAAGAAGTCTTAGCGGCTGTTTTACGTCCTGTGATCCTTTCAGGCCTGAATTAAGGTCACTATCGAGATAATATCCTTTTTTTTTGCATTTTTGAACACTTTCGCTATTGTAATTCAAATTTTAGCGTTTTATATATCGTTTTTATATTTTGCATAAATTTATCATATCATACAAAATATAATATATATTTTACATTTAATTAGATAACTGAAGATTACAAAACTGATGGGTGAAAGAAGTCCTCCGATGGAATTGAGCCATGCATTATTGCGCCCATTGTGTAATATGGGGCCCAAAGTCACGAGAATCCAAAGAAATTACCATAGACACAATGAAAATGCAATGTCCATTGGAATGGACGCCAGGTCTGAAAGCGTTAAGCCACGAGGCAATTGCAGGAGGCAATAGGCTTTTGAATTCACATTGATATGGGGCTGTGTGTTGAGCCTTCAAACTGAAATTATGGATGTTACATTAGTGGAACTCGATTCTGGCGGAATAAAAAGTTTCTGTGCGTCACTTGGTCGCGCAAGATTTCTTTTGGGTTGCGCAACTTCTCGATCACCTTGCAGAAGGGTGTGGAAATCATCAGGAATGCTATGTGATAACGACGCGAATCCTTCATTGGAAGAACTCTTCTACTCGCATCGAGTTCTTCTGCGCGTGTGACTCGGAACAGCCCCGTCACCCGCGACCTTGGAATTGGTGATGGGAAATGGTTATCTGAGTGCGGTGAGACGGCAGGCCAGGCAGCAGAACGACTTCTGCAGTGTTGTCAAATGCTGCTATTTATTGTGGCGTGAATCGTCCGGGCTAAATACGTTTTAAAGCCTTCCTCGCACTCGAATAATTCACGGCCTTCCCGTGAGAGCCTCGTCCTCGTAAATTACCGAGCGTCATGCAGGCTGGGTTTCCCGGACGGGACGCTTCCGTGAATGAGGCGACGCGCTAGAGGAAATTAAGTAACAAGGTGGCGATACGCATTGTCCCGTAGGGCGAGTGTCACCGAGCCTTTATGGGAACCTGAACAAGCCGTGCCACGTCGCCGAGCGATTGTACATCCTCGCTTCCTATGCTGCAGACTATCTAAATCCCTACGTGTTAGCCTACGCATTCCACGTCGCTTCGGACTCATAATACAGGCATAGAGTAAGCCTATCTTTGGACCGAGTGGTGTTTTAAGCAGCCTCACCCGAGGCTCTACTCGGGGTTCTGAGTGCTTATGGTATATTGCAGATGAGTTCCTACCATCGTTCAAATGGCATTCATAAGCTTAATATCATTTCTGTCACGGGAGGTGTACCCTCCTCTTTTTGAACTCGACGTAGAAATTTAATTGCACAATGCCCAAGGTGGTAGGAGTTCATTTGGAAAACACCTGAAGCTTAATATTGCTTCAGACCTGGTATGGAAAGAGAGAAGAGGCATATACCTTGGTTAGGGCCGCAAAATGATGTTACAAAGCGTTCACCTTAAGTAGAAGAACTTAATGCTTAGTAACTAATTTCATGGAATTAGCTTTTGTGATGGCCTAGATTTGTAGCCTCTAAATAAGATATTGAATCTGGTCAAATAAGGGCTTGAATTTTGCTCCAACTCAACTGATGGTTCATTCTGGTCAAAATGCATCTTGGCTTGCTTGTGTTGTTGACCTGACTCATTTTTTGCAAACTTTCTAAAGTAATAGTCACCTTGGAAATAGGCTTTGGGAGAGTTAAGATCAACATACATTGGCTTTACATTAGACCAGATCATATATAACCTTTAGATTTGGCCTAAGTTGTAAAGTAAAATGGATACCCTTGAAAATGTTATCATTTATCAAAGGCATCCTGTTTGACACTTTATAAAACCCACTGTGGATTATTTAGGTTTGTGATGTTTTCGTTTCACATTGGAAACACTGCAAAATTTGTTTTCTGAAAGCTTCACGAACGGTTGTCAGAATAAAAATTGACAGTCGTTCAAAGTGGAGTCATAAAATGTACATTTTCTGTGCATGAGGTGAATGGAGTTTCAATGCTCTTTAAATGATTTATCTCCCTTGACACTACAAATGCATCTTTTTATGCCAATCCTCATTGTAGTATCGATTCTGATGCTATGTTGTACAATAGTAGTATTACTCCCATGACGTGTATGATACTACGACAAGGACATGGTGTAAAAAGCAGTCTTTATGGCATTATGTAAGAGAAATCATTCAAGCAGTGCTGAAACCCCATCCACCACATGCACAGAAAAAGTACATTTTATGACTCCAGTTTGAATTAAATGAAACATTCAAAAAACAAACTCTGTGGTATTTCCAATGTGATACAAAGCATCACAAACCTAGATCCACAATGGGTTTTATAATGTGTCAAAATGGACATGTTTTATTTGTGCCACCCAATATTTAAAAAGTGTAAAAAGAAAAAAATATAACAGCCATATACTTATATAAAAGAAGTGAAATGTAAGAGTAGTTAGGTGAATAGAAAAGCCAATTACAACTGTTAAATAACTTATAGAGCCTAAATAGTTTTCTTTCCTACCAGATCCACAAGACGAGTTGAATCCATAACCGCCTGCTTGGTGAGGCAACATGAGGCAGTTGAGAGGAAAACCAAAAGAAAATGCCCGGCAGAAGAGGGAGCGAAAGGCAGACTTCATGGAGAACAAGCAGCGGGCCCTCAAGATAGGAATCCCTATCTTCATTGCCTTCTGGGTGATAGTTGCCATCTTCGTTTACCTCAACACGAGGCCCAAAGTGTAAAAAAAAGTTTTTTTCTATATATACATATATTTTAAAAAGTGGGTCATCTGTGGTTATGGTGTTCAACACAAGGACCTCTGGTTTGTTCATGTGCATTCCGTCTCCCGGCCTGGGCTTCCACATGCATTTCCTGTTGAGAGTGTCTTATTTTTTATGAGGCTGTTTGTCGTGCTTCAAGCAAATCCAATACAAAGTTTTATTTATTTCCATCATGTTTTTTCTTGAGACAGCAAGAAAGCATGAAGTTCTTTGCAGCTTTCTTTAACACCATATGTGTACATGCCTTCAAGCCACACTTCATATCACAGCATCAAAATTCAATAGAAACTGACTTGCTACATCACAGCATAAAAGTGACAAATTTGCAGCAGCCGTTTCCATTAAAGGGGCAAGGAACTTCTGTGAAACTTCTGCTATTTCCTGACTACATGAGGCAGTGGCTCAGGCTTGTCAGGCCTGCCAGAATCCTGGCTTCACTGATGTTATTTCTCTATTTGTCCAAGAGATCCTTTGCCTCGTTGATCTTTGCTGCAACATATGGGGAGCCACCACGATCTGGATGGTTGAGCAGCATGATACGTTTGTGGGCCTCCTGAGAACATCAAGGAAAGTATACCATTATTACCTTTCAGCAAAGGTGGACACAAGCAAGAAATGGCTTTGTCATTCATATCCTGCCTTCACTCAATTGTTTCACTCATGAGAAATGAATGGTAGACTACAGTGAACTTGCTAATGTTTATGTGACTAGGACATTGGTGTTGGCCTCTCTACATTCAAATGCAGGATTTTTGTAAAGAAGCCTGAGGTTTCCTTTTCATGTCCCTCAGCTAGATTACTACAAGCACCAATTGACAATAAATGAAACAGTATGCTTTTGAAACTGGCCAGAGGAAAAGAAAAACTATGTTTTGGAAGGCCTGATATAAATTCTAATATGTTATGATCAAAATACTTGCAACTTAACAAACTGTTACTCTTACAAGGAAGACATCATTGACTCTGAAAGTGAAATTTGAGAAAGGTGTCCTCAAAGCTTGGATAAAACACCAGAAAGATAATTACTTCTACAAAAGCTTTAGTATTTAAAACAAAATCATTGTGCAACTGAACAGCAGCATCATTCTCAGGACTGACATTCAGTAGGCCACAGATAAACTGATCTTTTTTTTTTCTTTCCTCCTGTTCATACGCACTCTTAATGGATGCCTTGAAATTTTAGAAACTATGAAACAAGCAAGAATTTCAGTCACCATAGTATCATGCTGGCAAGACCAAGGCAAGATAGAAATGACAGAAAAATGCAGTTGTTAGAGTTTTCTTTATCCTAGAATAGATCACATATGATGAAAATGAAAATTACTCGTAGTTATGAATGTACATAATACATAAATGATTAGAGCAAGTAAACTTAGTCTAGGAAAGTTTGACAAGGCTAAGTCATGGGAGCTCCAATGAACGATGGATCCCTTGCATTGCCATAATTGATGCCTATGTAAGATGGGACTTTTCATTGAAGTCAAATCTCCAAGAGCACAGGCTTCAACAGGAACGCCAAAACTGTAGCATGAGAGAATTGTCCCTTGGAAAGAATGGATGCTAACATCATCTAAAAGTTGGTATTGTACCTGTTGCGGCCTATGCATATACCCAAATATTAACTAAGCATAATTTTTCATTTCTCGACATGCAATGATCACCCACAATAGAAATGTATATGGAGCTACACTCGGTGAATGAGAGAAAGGTTGCCAAAGTATGGGCGCCAAGTCTATACCCTGATTCGTGCTTTGTTTGCTGATGGAGACACTCCCAGGATCAAGGCAGCCTCACGCTTATTCATTTTTGGTTCAAATCCACCCCTGTAATACTTGCTATTTGCAAACGTCTGCAACAGAAGTATACCCAAATTTAGAGATAATCCAGGCACTCTATGATTGTCATTATTTTCCCTACCTGAGAACTTGGCAGTTGCTTGATGGACTCTGCAAACTGCTTGCCAGCCTCGGGGAATCGCCGCAACATGTAACGTCCAACATATCCGACAGCAGCAATTCCTAGGCCAGCAGCAATCAGTGATGCAGTCTATGATGAAGTAAGTGAGACGAAATTCCAATCTGACCACAAGCTGTTAGACAAATTTTATCAAATACCTCAGGACATACCATTTTTTGCTGAGGTGAACAGAATGGAGTGTCTTCCAGGAGAGACTGCGGCTAACAATATTGTTCTTGTTTCCTCAGGAAGATCAGATGATAAAATTTATCCTTGACCTATGAATAAAAAAGAATCTTGATCATGAATCTAGAAAGTGCTAGCAGCTGAGGCCTAATGTTAATCATACCTTATCAAATATTTTCAGCAAGCATTCAGAAATGAGAAATGTTATAGCAGCCCCTTTTGCCTTGTCAGATCAAAGATATCTTAGAGACCTCCGTAAGTGGATGATGAAACTTTCCAAGCCAATTGCAACGTCAAGATGAAGACATTGGTTGGGACTTCCTATGCAATCACCAATGCAAGTTAGGTCTCTGTTTTATAACATAGGTTGAAATTAAGCTGGAATAAGAAAAAAATGAATCTGAGCCACCCTGCTTGATCAAACTGCTTCACTTTCATGGGTTGGGAGATGCAAATGTCATGTCTTAGGCTGAATTTCTGCACCTGCACATTTAGATGGAAGAATTCCCCAACACTTGCGAGGTCAGTTACCCAAGGCTGACTCCCCATCATTTGGACACATCTTAGAATTTCCCAAATCTAGGCAACTGTATGTTCCTATGCATCTATGCACATAGACAGGTGACAACAAAAATTCATCCCAATATTTGCAGACATTTGCATATTCGTTGCTAGGCATTACATTAATAGTTTCCAATCTGAAATCAATTGATACAGATAGGACATGCTGACAAGGAGATCTCATTTAGGTGTCTGTGATCATATAGGCTTTCAAAAACATTGATCGTAGCAAACCTTTCCAACTTCATGGCAACACCAGAAGGAGGAGCTAGTTCATATTGCATAAACCTCAAGAATCACTCAAGTTTCAGAATGACTTAACTTGTAAGTCACTTAATTTGTGGAATGTATGAGGTCAAAACACATTGGCTGCCTTTCTGCTGATAGTTTTTAGAGGTTAGATGATTGGAAGGACAAAACCAGAAATTGGGAGGAATAATAAGTTTTGGTAGTTCAACAGTAGATCGACACTGTCCCAAATAACATCTGTATAGAATTAGGCCTATCTTGAAAAAGTGATTGAACTCATCTCTGTTGGTTATTATGGAAAAAAAGTATATTGGTGCCCAACTCACCTTTAACCAGTTTTATTAGTTTGGAATATCAATTTTAATTGACTTTTCTTGTATTTTTGCTATGGCAATATTCAGAAGCTAATCACATTTACTAAATGCAATTTTTCAAACACATCAACACCACACCTCTCACAATCTTCTGAACTCCCTGAGATACTGAAAAGTGCAATTTTTTTTTTAAGGTAGGACAACTTGGAACATCTGCTGCATGTGAAAATTACAAGAAATGGAAGATATATTGGACAGGGAAAGGATTACAAATGTAATGGCCCATTGAGATGAGAACTCATGAAAGCTTTCCCATAGGGCCTATAAGAAATATGAGATGGAGGGAAAGCTGGAAAAGATACAGAAGCAAGCAGGCAGATCTCTTGTAAGCTCAAATGTGGCAGTGATAAGGTTTGGATGCTGGAGAACAAAGGACAACATTTGCATAGTCTTACATAAAATTATGAACAGCTGCAAATATACCTCGGAGATTACTAAAATCAACAGAACTGCCAGAACTCAACACTGAACCTCATCTCTGCCAGACTGGTTTTAAATAAATTTCTCTCCATCCCCGGATCAGTGGTGGACTGAGAAGACCCTCACTTCAAAAAAATAGCACAATAAACCTCAAAGTAAAGCTGTTCATTTCTAGGAATAACGTTTCCTTGCATGCATGAAACTCGAGGACTATTCTTACTTGAAAGATTAAAGTTGCAAGCCTAACAGTTATACCTTTTCTCAACGTTACACTATGGGCTGCTCACGAATGAATGAAAAACTCTATTACTCCTGCTGAGCATGACCATCATCAGACCAACAGGAAAGGGAAGAGAGCTCGAACGCATGCCCACTTGAATCTTGGCAATCTAACGCAACAATTAATGCCATAACACTTATTTCCATGTGTCTATTACGTTCACAATTAAAAGTGCAAGTATGAATGTCACTCTCATCATGGAACAGAGAAGATAGTGAAATGATAAGAATAACTTAGTCCCTGCTGGACGAGAGGGCGAGGGGACCACGTGCTGTCAGGCACGCCATACTATTCCTCGGCACTGCACGGTTGCCAAATGTTATGCCTTCAGTCACTGCCAGCCAAGTTTCTACAATGATACGTTGGGAATCCATATTTGCAATACCATCTAGGTACCATATGGAGTTTTATTTCTGACTTTTGATTTTGCCTTTTTCAGGTCAAGTATCTCAAAGCAATCTAATGTGGAACCGGGAAGACCAGCAGCACTGTTCTTGCTCCTCGTGATCGTCGACATCCTCCAGTGTTCCCTTTGCCGTTTGGTGGTGAGCCTCACTTTCTTGGACGATGTGGTTTCGCTTCGTAAATCATGTGCTTGCGATGGCACGAATTCGTCGATTCGTCCTCATCGGTAGCTCCGAAATGTTCGACCGAGGTACCCTAGTCTTTTTCGCTTTCTTTTTTCACGTTCGTTCAATATCCGTGTGAAGAGAATTGAATATCTCAAGGGTCAACAGTCGTCTGTGTCCGACGGCGATTCCTGAAAATCAATCACCCCTTTGGTTTTCTGTGACTTATTTACACAGATGCCCTTGTCATTACCAGGACTCAATGTCCTGGTAACGACAAGAGTATATATGAGAAGAGAATCGCCGTAGAATAGGCGGCCAACTGGGCGTTAGGCGAAAGGCGCGATATGACTTATTCCCGCAGAATCGAAATTCCTACCGGAATTTTTCCATGTCGAGCGGCGAATACAGGGAAAATAAGCTATAAGCTTTATGTATAACTATGTTTACAAACTATATAATAAGAATATGAATAAGCTAGCTATCATAGTGTTCAGTAAGTTCCCTGTAATTTTTTTTTTATTTCCGCTCATTAGGCGGAATATTTTTTCCTGAAAAAGCGGAAAGAAGAGTTTTCGGTTTCAAGACGAAGAATATTCGCACTTCAAGATGAAAACTAGAAGTAAGGAAGGGAATCTGTCGAATCCACTCAATACTCGGACATTTCGGATGGAATTTTACTCTTAGGCTAAGGCTTCATATAAAAACATTTTCGCGCAAAAACGTTTTTGAAAAAGTTTTTTAAAGTGTTAACATTGAGCCAATGCACCCGGCTACATATGAGAAAAACGTTCGGAGAAATGCTTGTGAAAAAACAAGAATTTTTGTTTCTCGAGTCCGGACATGCACAAGCATCGAACAACAGCGGACAAATCTTTTTCTACACCCGACCAATGACTTCCCACTGCGACGGAAGCGAGCCGGCGGGAGAAGAATATTCAACGAATTTTCTCTGGCATTTCGACCGCAGTGGCAACAGGGCGTCCGGGCATGCGTTCCCGCTGTTGGTTGGAACGTGAACGGAAGAGGCTCCATTTCCTCCTGTTTCCGTCTCCATGAGCTTGACGATCTATCGTGAAATTATGGAGGACGCAACAAGCCAGAATAAGCGATTGATCGCACGAGAGCCATGGCGTCCATGCAAAGCCCCCTTTCTCTTTTTTTAGTGGCCGCTGCTCCTTTCTTGTTTTCGCGGACTGAGGCAATGGTAGCCCATGCATTAGAAACGCGAACCATATCATAACGCATTGTGATATGATGGTTTTCAAATATTTGGGTACTGTTCCACAGTGGTGATCAGTTTTCCCTTCACTTCGGCCTCGGCTACCTTGTCCCTTTTTGAACGAGACACGATTCAAGAACGTGGTGCTGCTCAACACGGCACAGCCGTAGTCAGATCTCGAAGAGAGTAGAATATTACGCTATATTGCATTATATTACGGAGATTTTGTATAATCAAAGAACATTTCGAACCTTCCCCTGTGAAAGTTGATCTACGACTGCGGGTACGGGATAATCAATTTTGTTTGTGCCGAAAACTAGCCGAGCAATTTAAAAAAAAAACTTTTTTTTTTAGATGTTTCTAGGAAGCTTCTCATTCATTTTTTGTGGCTCTAGTTAAACACATTTGAGAAGCATCAAAAAAAGTTTCTCAGTGAAAGATGTTTTTCAGGTGTTTTTACTACCGCACATCGAAACTACCACACTTTTTCCCCACAAATGTTTTTATATGTAGCCTTAGCCTTCCTGTTTGGAAAACTGGTTTTTCGTCTGATGGGGACTTGCTCTTTTCACTGACACGGTGAAAGAAATGATTCCCCTCCGTAGTGGACATTTTCCCTTTAAATGGACAGAGAAAAAGGGGGCCAAGATATCAATATCGCTCACTGGCCCCATTTTCTTCCTTCACGTTCCTCGGCTTAGGCACCCCCCCCCCCCCTTCCCTCCGTCCACCTTTTCCTCCCCCTCCGCCTGTCGATCTTGCTTAGGCTGTCATATTATCTTTGAAAATGTCTATATCCTCTTTTCGTTGAGTCGATGATTCCCAGAAAGGGATTCCCGGAATAGCCAGGGAAAGTCGAAAGTGAACCAAGTTGAATCATGAGGAGGGCGGGCTACGAAAATGGCTCCAGGTCACCTGAAGTGGCCTGAAAATTCAGCATCGTCACACGTGCAGGACGTGTGACGCTGGTCTTCTCAAGGACCAGACACACTAATGTTCGTCACAGATACTTTTGCTTTGCCTCGTCGGGATGCTCTGTGGCGAGGAGCCCTTGGCGGAACGATTTCCATGCGGTCGCGTTTCCCACGTGGTGGCTGTGGGCGATTCATTCCATTGTCGGTGCCGAGAGGGCCGGTTCCCTTCAAAACCCACTGAATATCTGGTCTAATGCCTCCAATAGCATACGGTGAAGCGAGCGTTTTTACTATGGCTGTACCGGTGGCCACATTTGGCTGGTGAGCCGATTTTTCCCTCTATCTATTAGCCGGTGCCGGTGTCAATTGTGGCCCGTAGTAGAAATCGCCTATAAATCTCCATATGGCCTCCAATGGGCCTAATTGGAAGCCATATGATACTTATCAGTAGGCCTTATTGAAACGATGGAGACCACTTTTGGTGCTGTCCAGAATGTTGTGTCTCTATGAGGCTGTCAGTGGTTAGATTGTTATCCATTGCTGCTGTTGAGAGATTTTAGTGACACATCCCTTGCAAAAGCATAACGTAAATGGAGACGCAATGACTTCCCTTCTTTACCTCTCCTTTCCTCTGCTGGCTCCTATAAACCGACTGTAATATAATCTGATCGATATTTTTGTCTTGGGTTGGCAGGAGTAGCTTTCAGTGAGATTGGAGGGCCGGCGCCAAGCCGCGTGAACACCCTCATGGAATTTTTTTTCCGCTTCGCCTGTTCTTTGGGCACCGGCGCCATAGGCCGATACCGGTGTTAGCAGATGCATCGATACAGTCCTAGTTTTTACATTTTTTTAAATCACAGTATCAATCACTTTTGGTCCTTGTCACTTTCATACCCTAGACAAATATTCGAGGACTTGTGGGAAAAGGGGAGTAGTTCTGTACAGTAGTTGTCATGGGATTATTTACCTCCAAAACCTAGTCATTTCATGTTTTCCGTGTCTTAGAGATATGCAGATGTGAAGTTGAAGCAGTGTTATCAGTGCAATACTCGAGGAATTTTTCACGAGGCATGCTAAAGGAAATTGTTAGACAAAGGAAGGCATTTCAACACTGCACAATTTGACTAACTTGATGTAACTGTAACATATGCTGCAGTTTGTTTCCTGTTGAGGAAACGATTCCGGAGCATTTTTGGTCATGAGATTGAGCTATGCGTTTGTGAGCGAAAGGTTTTCAGAACTTAATTTTTCACATGCCTTCCATGACATAAGAGAAATGAGGAGGAACCACGATTTTCAACCATGACTCAATGAGCCATAGGTTCCCAACCCCTGCTGTAGAACAAGGCACGAGTTATCTGAGCAGAGACTGACTTCTGCAGAAACAGGAAATCTCTCCAGCCTGCATATTCCAATATCTGGTGGGACTGTTTCCAATGGATGAAATGATAAGAACAACGGATCATGTGCAAAAAAAGTCACTGCCGCCGCACAAAGGAAGAGACTCACGCGAAATGACATGAAAATACTTTACTGCATCTTCTATAAAGTCTCACACGTTCATCGGAGAGGGGAGTCACTATATCGATGTCAGGGTTCTTCGTTTGTGTTGGTCCAATCAAGGCTGGACAGACAAAACTACTGACAGCGAAAACATCACAAATAATTATAAGTAATTATGAATTTGATAATGTAAATCAAGAAAGGAGTCCTGAATAACTTCCACAAATTTCGAAGGGAAGTGCACCATTGCAACACAAGAATCAAGTTTGGCATGGTTTGAAGTTAAAATCATAAATGCACTTTTCAAAAGAATTCCTGTGCATGTGCAGCACCATGGCATAGTAAGATCCTTAATAGACAGTTCTTCTATGCATAAAGTGAGAAGAGAATCACAGTAAGAGTCAACTTATGCAGTGAGTAAATGAAACATAATTATGTTGCTTATTTTCTTCCACTGAACCCAGGATAAGGGAGGTCCAATGACACCTGGGCTCTACTGCTGCCTTGGGTCCAATGCGTGGAAAGGACAGCAGAGACCAGTGTGGCACTGGCTGCTCAGGTCTGGTATTGCGTAAGCCATAGCCAATGAAGACATGAAGTGAGACAGTAGCACTAGAATGCAGAGTTAATTAATAGTGAGAGTATTATATTATTCTATTCTAAAATTCCTTGTTCCTAATGAAAAAAGAATACCTTCTTCCCCAAAGTTTTCTACCAGTTTAGTGGCTGCTATGAAATACTCGCAGATGCAATCAGAATTTCTCTCATTGTCTGTAGATAACCAATCCGTAATGAAAATGGCTTTTCCTATGTACTTTTAGGAGGGCAAATCTCATTCTTGATGACTGCACGTGGTGTAATTAAGATATTAATTATTTACCACTGATTGAATTCACATTTAACCCTTTGCGGTCATGTGTCGCGCATGACTCAACATTTGTTCTTTGTTCAGACCGCCTGAAATTACTTTTTCCTGCCACTTATTACAATATTTTACTTCACACGACATCTACAGATTATATTTATCCATCTACCGACCGGCATTTGAAATGATTTGTTGAAATGTGTTTTTATATTTTTTCATTGAAATTAAATATGACCTGAGGGGACAACTAGTGGAAAATAAATATGACTGCAAAGGGTTAACAGTTTCTTAATCACACAACATTAAATGGCACTTGCATGCCTCATTAGATAGAGCATATTTTATCACCATGCTTTTCAGCAGCCAAAAACTACAGAAAATTGAAAGGGAAACTCATGTCCAGACCTTCACTCATTCACAGCTGTTGAGTCTTTCAGTTTAAGGGAAAACTCAGCAGCTCAAAAAAAATTTCAGGGTCTGCAATTTTGGCACAAAGTATGGCATCCATACATGTTGAGTAGAGACTTATTCCAAATGGGAAAAAGAAATTAAGGCATTTATGCAGTTCACAGAGATGAAAATGGACTCCTTCCAGTGGTTACAGCACTGATTGCCTCTCAGTTTGATCAGAGAAACAAAATCATCTGGTATGAGTGCAAAAGAAATAGTAAAAAAATAGCTCATGATCATTATCTTTGAAGAAATAATAAGCAAAAGGAAGGCTTTTGCAGGAAGAATACTTCTGTGACAGACTCACAAAACAGATCCAAATTTAAAGGAATCTTGCACCAAGCTGACAGGAAATCATTTCAACTTGCTAAGAATATATGCTCACACAACACTCAAGGTCTAAATGTCATATGTGGTGGAAAGGGAATACCCTGTTTGGATAAATGCATTTAGTCTCAGAGAGTCCTTTTGAGCACTGCTCAGGCAGGAGACAGCAGAAATGAAATCCCTTGTTTCTGGCCTTTGAAATGCAGACAGCGAGGGAAATTATGAGTTTCTTGCTTATGAGATGAAGACAGCTGGAAATTCTTGTTCTTGCTCATCAGATGAAGACAAACAGGGTCATCCCACTCCTCTGGGTTGCAAGATGCAGCACCAACCTGGGTTCATTCTCCCAATTAACCCTGGTGAGAACCAGCAATACTAATAATGCATTTGTTTATCGAGGAAAACAGTCCATCCCTCTATATGAATATGAGTGAACCAAAAGAGAGTTTTGCAGTAGAGATCACTTTATATCAATCACATCATGCTTGTATCAAAATCATGCAGCATTGATGTACCAGTGAGTGAAGCACAGATGCAGTCAAAGTGATACAAAAATAGGGGATATTCACAGGGGTGATCACAATCTATAAGGGGCATGTGGAGAGAGCAAATATAAATAGACAAGGATTTTCCTCTAGGCCAAAAGTAAAAAGGTAGTGAAGATTGAAAGGGGTTAGCCTTTTCAGAACAAAAAATCAATGTAAAAAAAAGTTCAAGTTTCAGGTATAAAGGAAGAAGTTCACTCTCACACTCAGGTACTTGTTTTATCAGTGTGAAACAAGGCTGAAGAGAATTATTTGCCTGTGCAGAAAATTTGGTAACAAACTCATCTGCTCAATATGATGTTAGAATAGGCACTCATGTTGTTACTGATGTCTAATCAAGAACTCCAGTAACATGCAAAGTTGTGTGTGCAGATGTATAAGCCACAGCATAAAAAAGGGACGTGTAAACATCAACAGCTGTTACTACTGACAAGCATAAAAGACATGCACAATATCAACATATGGGAAAGAGGGAGTGCAACAGCCACAGAAGAATGATTAAAGCAAAACAAAAACTCTCACAGAAACAAACTATGATGGTAAAAATCAGGAGGGAAAAAGGCGACAATGCACCTGGAATGTTGGTGCAGAAGGACTTTGGTAGTGCACTCGGCCACTGCGGCGCGCTGGACTCGCTGACGGTGACACCCACCGCTCGCCGAAAAACCTGCGGAAACTGGGGACGAAACGCAGAACACATTCGCTGCATCCATCAACGTGTGATATCACTGGGGAGCTATCTTGCACGTTCAACAAGAACGGCATCCCTGGATTCATGCACGATTGGCCCAGCTTAAGACTGGGCCAAGCACAATCCGAAGGAGCCACTTAAAGAGGACGCACAATTTGCGGATCCCAGAATCCTGCTTCTTCCAGGGGGCATCTGCAGGCTCTGGTGGCATTGGTCCTTGGACTGGGGCCTCACCATTCTCAGCCAATTCCTCCTTCCTCTCTCCCTCACTCTCCTTGCTAGTTTCTTCCACCACTTCCCTGTTCCTGTGTTCATGAAATTGCATAAAGTATGTGATATGCATCAATAAATGTAATGCCCTATAACATTGAAAGACTTGACAGTCTTTTTTCCATTTGGTAATTAAAAAAATATATATTTTAATAACTTTACAGTAAATTCCACTTTACATAATGAGTGCTTGGAGGTAGTAAGTCACTTTGGACTTGTTCAAGAGCAAGATACCATGGTCTCAAACAGAAATGATACTATGAATTTCATCAATGACATATGAATGCAGCAATAAGAATAACTCCCTGGAACCAATGTTTGCCATGTACAAGTGTGCCTCTTCCTTCCTCATAAAAAATAAGAAGGCTGCTTGAAAAATGTGACTTACTGAGATTGGTAATATCTCAATTGGTCTTCTAGTTCTGAGACACGAGCCTTCAAGTCATTCCTTTCTTGCAATATCTCCTTCAGTTCTTCTGTAGAGAAGCGAGGCTTTCGTGGGTCATTCTCGCAATCCTTCTCCTCCTCCTGCAGAAAATAATAGATTAAACTTGGCACTCATCAGATGTCCAATTACTGAAATTCCCATAATGAATGCACCTGACTGCGAGCAAGGTCACGATTCTCCTTTTCAGCTAGCCCCAGTTGCTGCTTGAGGACATAGATCTCCTTGGTAAGGTTCCCGACCTGGACCTGGTAGTCAGTGCGCTCCTCGACGAGGTGGACACTCTGGTCCTTGGCTGCTCGGAGGCGCCGCCGGAGCTCCCTTGCTCCATTCTGTGCACTCTCTACCTGGGACTGCAGCTGCAGCCATGTAATAATAAATGGTGCACATTGTGGAGGCATACCAAAAGCATATACATGCATATTCTATAAACCAATGGTCAGACAGGAGTTCAACCACTAGCCTTGTCCCTTACTATCTCCCACAAAATCCTTAATATTTTAACCTTTCTTCTTTTTTTTTTTTCTTTTAGACAGAAAAGGGTACAGTTGATTCCTCTTTATTGGAAAACCTTGGTAACAGGTCAATTTGCTCCAATAGAGCTGCTGCCCTGATGATGGGAACTTACCTTCCATTACCTTAATGATTTAGTTCCTGGCAAAATGCTCCATTAAACCAGCTGCCCCCATAAACCAATGGCCAAATAAAGCAGAATCCACTGTAATCCTAATTTTTTTCTTTTCAATGTGTTCACTCCAGCATTATGTCTCTAGAGTCATAGATTCAATAAGAGTATAGTCTTGCCTGAGATACATTTTAAATTAGGTTCTAGGTTATGTTTACAAAGGGGAAACAAGAAAATATTATCATGAGAAACAAACCCCTTCAATCCTGAGCTGGAGATCCTGTATCAGCAGCTCCTGTTGATGGGCCCTGTCCCGCTCTTCCTTCACTCGATGCTGGAGCTCCTCCACCAGTATTGAGTCCATGCCAGGCAATGGAGGGGCTGTAATTCATATAAATTGTTGAAGGCAACATACTCACTGCAATTCAAGACAGTCCATTTCTTCTATATGAGAAGTATAATAGTTTATGAACAATGAACTTTACTTATGTTTATATTTGACAATGCTGCCTTCCTTCTTACATCTGCCTCTTTTTTTTACACTTCTGTAATAATATTTGCATGGATGAGCACCCATATGATTATGAGATGAACCTCAATAATGAAATCAGTTGGTAAAATGTCTAGAGCATATACAGGAAAGGCCTTCAGCATGTCTAAATAAGTTGACTTTCCAGAGTCACTCCACTTATTACAAACACAATCCAATAAAAGTTGGTAACACATACGTGATTGTGGGGATCGATCGAACTTGGAAAGAGCAGCAGAGAGACGGGCATTCTCTTGTTGCAGTTTGCAGACCAGTGCCCCAAGTTCCCTGCTCTCTTGGGCCCATGTCTCCTCTGTTGTTTCCAATTCCTGAGGTAAAAAGATGGAAAAATTGAAAATTTTGCACAATTGCTTTTGAGAATTTTTGTATCAAAAGTACCAATTCTATGAATTGTGAACCTGGTGCAAACTAAGATCAATTCACCTTTTCAAACCGAGCCCGATACTCTGCCTTTTCCACCCTCTCCCGCTCCAACTTCTTGATCTTGGCCTGCAAGTCGTCGATTGCTGAGGACTCCTGCTCGTGTTTCACGGCCTGGGCCTCGAGGTGCTCCAGGATGGTTATCACTTTGGGCATGAGTCCGCCGAGGCAGTCGTGTCCGTACTGGTCCATGATCCGCTCGAATTCCTTGCCGACCTCGGCGGCGAGTTCGTAGACCTCGACGACGGACACGACTGACACCGACTCGTGATCCATGCAGCCGAATTCGGTGGACGGGCGAGACCTCTGCGTGCAGAGGACCCTCAACTGAGGCATTCAGCCTCTTCAACAAATACACTCGGTCCCACCCAGTCAGCTTTGGAGATCAGAACACTGGAAAATATTGTTCTGAGCTGTATCTAGGCTCGATCTGTCAACACCTGTTGGGTGATAAATGGCCCACACGAACACATTGTGAGAGAGAACTGTTAAAACCCAAATCTTAGCAACTTGAATGAGAAGAGGTTATTTTTTTCACTGCTGGACTCCAAATGATATCACTCATTCTTATTAGAGCCAAACAACACCATCACATGAGAATCAAAAGATGGGGTGCTTTGAGTGCAGTGAGGAAGATCAAGCAAACAAAGCCACAGAGGCCTTGGTCAGAGAATCTTGAGATTTCTTCCAGCTTCAAATCTATGTAGGTCTCGAGGATAGGCCCTTTCGATACCGCCCTCTTAAATCCCTCCATGTAACGAACCCATTCCAACCTCAAACCAGGAAGGCAAACAGTTCACAAGAATAACGCTAGACTACATGCTATCACGAACCATGACGTAATCCAAGATCGTTCGATCACGCCATGCCATGCCAGAGAAATCCATTCAATTATATCAAGTTAGGGTCAACGTAAAAGCCTACTAGAATTATAAGTTAAGTTCGTGAACAGGAAATAGGGCCTTAGTCATCCAGGCATAGACCTAGAGCAACGTTAACAGTTGCGTCTCGCGCATACGCTATTTAATATTGATTTAGCCTCATGCACGAATGGAATATGAATATAATGCAATAAAAGACAAGGGCACGTGCATTTTGTGTTCTACACATCCGTTATGCATTTTCAGATGGATGTGACACACATTTAAGTCCATGGCGGCTCCCGTAAATGGATTCCGGAGTCAACGAGAAAAATAGTCCCAGTCACCCTCGAGCATCTCGGACGAACCGTGGCCTTCGCGCGAAAATGCGAACATCTGGTCGCATCAGGCGCCCCAACCGAATCCAAGCCGACTCCTTCGTGCATCGCAGAAGATGCGAGGTGAGGAAATCGATACGGACGATTCGAGGCCACGGGGAAAGACGTCACCTGAAAACAACTGCTCGCTTTCAGAGGACACCTACATAATAGAAACGGATGGAGTGCTCCAATTTCACATTCCCCTGCGCGCGGGCATGACACGTGTGACGTCACGACTCGCGCATGCGCCGTGGGGATTCCCTAGCAGACGACGCGATCGCTTCGCGGCAGCAAGGCGGAGCAATCCAGCGCGATTTGCGAAAAGCGTTGATTTATAAAGAAGCACTTATCGGAAAGTTTTTTCGTATGAATGGATGAAGCCATGCGACGGCCTGGCTCATATCCCCGGATCATTTGGCGGCTGTCATCTCCCCCTCCGTGCGTCCGCACGGAAGTCCCTCATTAATAATTTCCCAACTTTTTCCTGCGATAATCAATAGGTAATAGGCCGGACATTACGAAGGTACTCCCCGTCTCACGAGACGCCGAGGAATCGAGCTCGACAGAGGAGGGGAATACGCGAAGTTCGGGACACCGGCACACACGATTTCTGCCATGCCACGGAGAATCTCACGCGTTTTCCTTGTGTCCCTCGCACTGGACGAGGCGGACAGTTATGGCAGACAACAAAAAAAAAGCTCGCGGTCAGCCCGCGAGCGTTCCGACACATTGCACACGTCGCACGATGACGTCAGAGACGGAACCCCGTAAAGAGTCTTGGGGGCCCCAATGTTCATTTTTTTCTAAGCCCAATATGAATTTGCTCCTCATTTCTTTAATGGATCACCGTGCATTTATCTCACCATTCTCAACTCACAGCGTAAATTCTTTGTTTTTTTTTGATAGCGAAAGAAACCACACTCGATCATGTTGCTACCAGAACCTTATCTCTCGCACTCCGAGCCGCGACACTCGAGAACCGGGAGCCCCGACGACGCCACTCGACAAGCGAACCCCACATCCGCGCGATGACGTCACACGGTCGCACGGAGCGAACCGCGCGATGACGTCACAGAGCGTCTCCCTTCCCCGTCGGTCGTGGATTCAGACTGTGGCCGGTCCTCGCCGCGTTCGAAGGGGTCGGAGGGAAATGAGACCGCGCTCCTTTCTTTCCTGGCCTCCATTCTCAAACCTGAAGAAAAACTCGGCCGATGAATCTTCTTTATTCCTAATGAGACTTACAATAATTAATTGCGGACGGTGTTCTCATTGTCCCGTCGTATCGGTCTGCTCTGCCCGTCTTTGTTTCGAGTCGTAATAAATTGTATCGCGTGATTCGTTCTGCGCAAATTCGTCTTTTATTGCGTTTTGGGTTTCGCAAAATATCGAATTCGAACGTCTTCGCTCGCGGTCAACCGCCTTCCTCGAATTTTTTCGCCATCGTAAACGAATTTCCCTCTGATGATTCTTTCGGCGATGGGACGAAAACGAAAAGCACAGGGAGCGATTCGACATCCGCCTCGGGCAACCCTGTCCCCCGCAACCCTGTCTCCCGCCTTCGCCCCGCAGTGAGCCTCGAGACGCCTCGGACGGTGCACGCCGCTCAGCCGACGCTCAGCCGAAGCTCAGCCGACGCTTAGCCGACGCTTCGCTGCAGGGCGTCCAACCGGTCGCTCGCCAGCTGGATCTCGTAGTTGGCGCGGAAGATCTGCAAAATTTTTTGGGTGTTGAGTGTGACTAAAGGATGGATTTTGTCGGCGATTGGCGACAATCTCGAGAGATGTCGGGCGGGTTTTGCTCGAGTCTGAATTCATGATGAAATTGATTCCAGTAATAAACTATGTTAATTTCCGCTTCATTGAGAACTATTTATCGATTCGCGGTTCGTCGATCTGATGCGTTTCGCCCTTTCGCATCGCCACGTCTTCAAGCACAGCGCCGCCAGCGACCAAATCTGGAATCGTCGCGAATTCCTGCGAATTCGCAATTCGGAGACACCGGCCCGATCTGACCTCATGCAAGACGTAGCGGTCGTGCGCGTGACGCTTCCGGATCCTCTTGATCGCGATGGGAACGTAGAACCCGAGCAGGGCCCCGACCGCGACCCAGAACCCGAATTTCAGGCCTTCTTCCATGATTTCTTTCAGGAATTCCCGCCGTTGCTACGCGAACGCAAGAAAGAGGCCACTCGATGACAAAATATTTTTCCTTTGGAAAATGCTCTGCTTTCATCAGCTTTTATTTATTTATTTATTTGTATTATTTCTTATTTTATATATTATTTAT